TGTGCCCAGGACTGGTTATTAATGCCTGGCTCAGTCCTGGGCCTATGGTCTCGTTCCCTTATCCTGGGGTCACTCTTGACTCGTTTGACCCATTAGTGATTCCCCCACTTCGCAGGAAAGTAAATATGGAGTAGGTGGGAACCCAAGTGGCCGTCTGGTTAGGCTCACTATTCCAGGTGTGAATCTCTGCTGCAGCCCCTGGGAGTAATTTGCCAAGGCTGCAGAAACCCACTGAGAGACACGAGACTTGCCACTGCACAGAGCAGACGTGCCACGTCCAGACAGAATTTGTAAGCAGATCCTCCCTGGCATTGACTTGACATCTCAGTCCTGTAATTTCTTTCTTCTTTCTCTAGCTAAACGTCCTCAGTTCTGCGTCTCCTGCTCTGGGTTATGGTTTGCGGATATTTCCCAATCCAGATGGTTTTCCTCTGAGCTCCTGCAGTGCCCAGGGATGTTCACGACAGACCGAGCAGAGCAGACGAGACACGGGTGTCGCCTCCCTGTCCTGGGCACTCTGCCATCCACTGTGGCACACCTGTGCCGTCGCTTCAGTTGCAGTCACTGCGGCCGCCCAGACACGTCTCCCCTGTGTGTGCTTTGCAGTTTGGCTCTTGGTTCTACCTGCGTTCCTTAGCTTTCGTTTGCATTAAATTTCATTCTTTCAGACTCACACCTTGACTGACCTTGTCAGAGTCCAGCCCTCTGAGGTGGTTTTATATTTGGGATTCAGCAGCATCCGACACGTGGCTCCCCCTCCCTGTCCCGTCTTCTTTGGCTTGACTACGTGCCCTCTAGGTTCTTGTCCCTGTCATCAGGGGGAATGACATGGCCACCAGGACCCACACTTCAGCCCCAAGTTTGCCCATCGGCTCTGAGAAGGGCTGGGAAGGCCCCTGTCACACAGCTGCTGGTGTCCAGATGCAGGGGCTGTGGCCAAGCACCCCTCCACTCTCGGGGGCCTGTCAGAGGAGGAACTTGGGGCTCCGACTCTGGGGGTGCTGACGTGGGCCTGGAGGCTCCTCTCTGCAAGTCCCCCGGCCCCTTCCCAGTGCTTGCGATTCTGCCTGTGGGTGTGTCCACGGTCCTCCTCAGGGTCTGAGTCACTGCCACCTCTGTACGAGGACCTTTGGGCCAGGCATCCATGCAGCAGCTGGGGAGGTCTTCCTTCTGCCTTGCGTCTGGTGCTGACAGGTGCAGCGTGCCAAGAGCAGCAGGTTTATGGAATGTTTAAAAATTAAACTCATGTACCTTAATTTTAAAGATACAAAATATGAAATATAAAAAAAAAAAAAAAAAAAAAAAGGGGCCGCCCCGGGGCCNTGACACCACCAAGTCAAGGGTTAAGATCCCCTTACCGGTCATCTTTAAAAAAAAAAAAAATGAAATATGAGGGAGGGAAGCAGGATACCAAAGGTACAAAAGGTACAAAAATAAGTGATCCAGCAAGCTATGGCATCCAGCTGTGCCCACACCCAGAGGTTACTGCACAGGGAGGGACATCCGCTGGGCCCGTGCCGCCTGGGGGGTCCCCGCGGCCGTCTGGGGGGGGTCCCGCGCCGCCTGGGGGGGGGGCTCGCGCCCGCTTTTTCCACTCCTCAACTAACCGTTCATAGTCTGGAATACTCTCCATCTTCATTTACCGTCTCGGAGTGTTGTGCGTTTTTAAAGCTGTTTTGGCTTTTTACAGCTGAAACTCACCCAGTGAGCTCTCTCCGTTCTGTAGTTTCTGCAGCCCTAAGGACACAGTAAAGGGACCGTCACCCGCCTGGCTCTCCCGCGGGCGCCCGCCGCCCCCTGGCGCCGGAGCGGGGAAGTGCAGGCCTGGCTCGCCCCGCCGGTCGCACTGCGCGTGCGCACGGCCGCGTCCCTGCCCCCGGGCTGCCCAGGTGCGCGGGGCGCAGGTGCGAGTGCGGGGCGGGCGCAGGTGCGGGAAGCAGGTGCCGGGCGCCGCCCGCTCCTCCTGCGGTGCAGACGCGTAGGCCCGGCTGTGAGGTTCGTGAGGGCGTGTGAAGCAGGCGCACAATGACGGTTCGATAAACAGATACCGTATTGTACAGAATATTATTAAAACCCAGAAAGGGGAAGGGAAATGGCCAAGCTGAGAATATTGACTCCCACCCATCGGGGTGTTTGGAATTCACACCCCCAGCTGTGAACTGGATTCAGAAACCGACTTTCAGTACGTACATCATGGTACGTTCGTTCTGAGCTCAAAGATGATGCCAGGTGCACACCCCAAAACGGGGGGCCACGAAGGTGCTGCTCTGGGCCACGCGTCGTGGTTACCCCCGGGACAGCCACTCAGTCGTCCACAGCTTCTCCTGCTAGGGGTTTGGTGATGTGCTGTTGCTCCTCATTACTCCCAGAACCCATCTCGTGAATTCGCCTACTCACTAAAGTTTTTTGGTAACCCCGAAATGAATAGTTGCTGTGCTTTTGCAGCCATTCAAGGACATGCACAGAAGGGCGGTGGAAAATTTGACTCTCCCGATGTGCACATTCCCGGCTGAAGTTGAGCAAGGAGAAGCCAGCTCTCTCCCCTTGGTCCTCTCACCTCAGCTCTCCTTCAGAGACAGCCAAAGGACAGGAGGGGCGGGGCAGGGCAGGGCTCTGGCTCAGGGGACAGTGGGACAGGGTCCGAACCCAACTCTGGCACCTGCTTGTGGAGCAACACCAGGCAAGTCAGTTAGTATTTTTCTCTTGAAAAATAAAGCAAGTAAAATCTGCCAGGATGAGTTAGGATTTAAGATGATAATCTATGTGATCTCTGTTTTTCTACAGAGACGTGTAGGTATATATGTAAACACGCACATTTCCCGTGGGAGCAATGGTTCAGTATTCATTAACTCAGTGTTCATGGTGACTTTACAGAACATAACTACCTCGAATCACAAGAATCGCCTGTATTTTCATTCTGGCCTTCCAAGGGGGGAAAAAAATGCAAGCTCTAGAAGTCATTCTATGTGTACATCTCTGTGTACGTTTCTGAAGCAAATGTATTGGCTGGAAAAGTGACATGGTTCAGAATTTTCAGCAAATCTACAATGTGAAAAGACTTCACGAGCTATAGAGACCTAAAGGAATAAGAGTTACTGTTTCTGTCTCTACCTCTCAGGCATGACAGCGGCACCTGTCATTGTTAGTTTCTGTCATCTACACGTGTTTAACCTACATGTTATTTTACTGTTATCTGTTCTTCACAGAGCAAAAGCTACCACAAGTCTGTGTGAATCTGAATTGCACGGAAAACCCAATTACTTAGCAGGTACTTTTTAAAATTCTCTGTCTCATCTTTTCCAAATGGGTAAAATGTGTTTCTTCCATTGGAGCGCTCTCCCTGCCCCACAGAAACCCTGCGGAATATGCCACTTTGGGGGGCATCAGTGGCTGTCCCTCTGGGGCAATGGCCTGTCCCTGTGGGCTCTGGGCTGTGTGTTTCTGAGGAACTGGATGAGTCACGTTGCACTGAGGACGAGACTGCTCTTGGTGCAGGAGCTCTGCGGCTCATGCAGTGTTGCCTTACCCTCCCTGAACCCTAACAGGAAAGAGCGGCGGAGGGAACGGCATCTCAGTATATGGGGCGCAAACGGACACTGGACGCTGGCCCCGGGGTCCAGCCAGGGCCCCGTGCCTGTGCTTCAGGGGTGGCCCCAAACTCGTCCTCGACCCCGAGGGGGCTGCAGGGTAAGTGGTGCCAGCTGCCCCTCGCCAGCCCGGCCCCTTGCTAAGTCACTGTGGAGGCCAAAGTAAAGTCAGGGGCTGTCCAGCAGAAAGAAGAGTTGGATGTGGCCTTGATCTGCTAAACCTCACTCTGATGTGGCGTGCAGAGGCACACGGGACACACCCCAGCAGCTTTCCGCCTGGAAGTCATTGCACCTCCTGGGACTGGCAGGAGTACCCAGAGAGAGTCGGGGGTGGAGGACCCCCCATGGGCCCTGCCTCCATCTGTCACCTGGACCCCGGTCACTGTCTCCATTCCCTCCTCTTGCCCCTCCCCAGCCCCAGGGCCTCTCTGCAGAAACTGCTGGGGACGTCCTCTGCTTTCCAGTTGGGCAGGACCATTTGCACTGAGGACCCCCCCAGCATCAGTAGTGACCAGTGTGGTGATGTTGGATGTGTGGTGCATGCCTCACAGAGACACCTCCCTGCTGGCAGGGTGGGCAGCCCATGCTGCTTCCTGCACCCCCACCCCAGGACCCCTGATCCCTGTCCAGGCACAGGCAGGGAGGATGCTGGTAGGCTGGAAAGTGAGGTGTGGGGGCCTGGCACCTAGCAGCCCGGGCAAATTTAGCCAGTGGCCACCCTATTTAGCACCCTCTCTTAGAGACTGCCACCCAAGGGGGTGGACCCGTCGCCTCCTGCTGCTCTGTCTAAAAGGCCTTCTTTCTGCCACCTAGCAGCCCGGGCAAATTTAGCCAGTGGCCACCCTATTTAGCACCCTCTCTTAGAGACCGCCACCCAAGGGGGTGGACCCGTCGCCTCCTGCTGCTCTGTCTAAAAGGCCTTCTTTCTGCAGGGACCAGGAAGAAGAGGAGCAGGAGAGGCCCCTGAGCTGCTCCTCTGGAGTGAGGGGCTGGAGGGAGACGCACATGTACAATTGCCGCTTTGAGACACTGGGACCGACAAGGTATCTGAGCTGGACGGCAGAGAAGTGCTGTCAGGATGGCAGTGTCACACGGAAGCTGCAGCCCAGTAAGTGCAACCTGTTCTCCATGTGTGCCACACCCCGGGGCTCCTGCACACCCTACCCAGGTGTCCAGGGCACTTTCAATGCCAGCAGCATCACTGTGTTCAGAAATTCACCCCTGTCCCACCCACCAGGCCAGCCCCCCAGCGTCTACTCCAGCCGGACGAGCAGGCCCACGAGGGATGGTGCTCAGGGCCAGGTGCACCCTCCTGCTTGCCACTTCCCCCAGGGGAGCCTGGAGAACCGGCTGCCTGAACCTGGAGCTCAGTGTTTCACAGCGGGGGTCTATTCCACCGAGGATGCGAAACTGAGAAGCCTGCAGACGCCTCTGGGAGCCCCGTGCAATCCAATGCTGCCACTAGATGTGCCTATCAAAATGGAAAATGACTCTGGGTCCGAGGACACAGCAGATGGCTACAGCAGTAGCCAGGTGTGGCTGGGGGCCAGTGATGTGGCCAGGAAGCATCTGGTTGCTTTCCCTAGCAGGATGCACCTGAAAACAGAGCCAGATTCCAGATGCCAGCTCTACATGCCACAACTTGGGCACAGCGTGCTAGGGGCTCCCCCGCATGGCAGGGCCACTGCTGGGCCTAGCAGGGAGCTGGCCCCATTCTACCCCACACAGTGCACCTGCCTGGAGTGCATGCATGGGCTTCCTGAGCCAGAACCTCCCCACCACCTCTGCACGCAGGGCTGTGGCGAGCACCAGCCTTCCACTCTGGGCTGTGACTGCAGAGCTCCCGGGGCCACCCCCATGGTCAAGCAAGAGCCCCTGGACTCGCCCCCGTGGGCCACCCACAGCCAGAGGGGGGTGCCTGGGATGTTCCGTAAAAGTGCTTTGGGGACTTTGATCCCACCAAAAGCCCCTGAGTGTGCCTTCCTGCTGTAGCGCTGCCACTTCCCTGAAAGCTGGCATCCGTCCATGCTCAGGTCCCACCCTTGGCTGGGCTGCCACTGCACCTGGATGGTGGGTGCATTATCGGAGCCTTCTTTAAGTGCACTCTGTGGAGTTGCACAGTCGCAGTCCTCCATGCTGTGTGTGTGGGACATGCTGCAGTGTTTCCTGAATTTTATAAGATATCATGGAAGTTCTTATTTGCAAATTGGCCTTATGTTTATTCCAGTATCACAGTATTTCTTTTTGAGGAGTTAAAAGTTTTAAGAAAGTGGCTGACAGTGGGATGGATCAGCACTCTGGGTGGTATTCCCTGTTCCAAGGGGCAGCATGCTCCCAGCCAACTTGCCATCAAGTCCACAGTCAGTGAATATGTTCAGTGTTCCAGCTCAGCCCTCGCAAGCCTGCTTCCCAGTTTCCTGCCTGTGCTGTGCAGGCAGGGCCGACGCCTCTGTGGAGTGGACCTCAGACAGTGCACACAGTAAATTAGAAATACAGCGTAACTCACTGAGTGCAAAGTGACTGTGATCCCACTCATGCGAGGAATCTGGAAAGTTCCAGGAAGAAGAGGTTGTCAGTGCTGAGCCCTGCGCTTTATCGCCATATGCAGTAGGTGCTGTGTGGCTCCATGGTGGAGTTTGAGGCCATATCTGGAGTGGAAATTGATAGGATAATGTCCTGTTCCTCCTGAAATCTTTCTGGCATTTTCAGTGGACCTCTGAAGATGGTTCGTGCTGATCTGTCTTTTGGTACATGATGTCACGTAGAGTTCACAGAGCATAGGTTTGGAAGTACAGAGAGATACAAAATGTGGAGAAAGGAAAGGAGTTGGAGTTGTCTGGGAGGCCATCTTACTTGCTGATTTTCTATAGCTTTTAAAAATGAGGATTCCAATCACCATCCCGGGAGGAATTATTAGAGAGGAGACAGACATATTGACAGACATTTAAAAAAAAAATTGTAAAGGTAATATATTCTGATTGTAAGAAACTTAGATACAAAAGCATAAGCCAGAAAGTGAAGGTCACCACAGTCTACCACCCAACATAACCTAGAGCTGATGGCACAGTTCAGACTTTCAGGTGAGGCTCAGGCCAAAGAACCCTGACGGTTAGAGCAGGGTAGTTCCAGACATAACATAAGGGTATAAAAATCACAACAAGCTGGAGGAAGCTAAAGCTCCGGGGTCCCACTGCAGCTGGGCCCACCTGTGTAGGCCAGACAGACCCTTTCTCGGGGACAAGAGTGTCTGCCCTCCACGGTCACCTCCACCCTCTCAGTGCAGGCATCTTCTCACTGTTATCTGTGACCTTGGGATGTCCATGTTCAGACTTGGATTTATGCTGAAGCCATCTGATAAACACATATTCACGTTGTCAAAACCAGGGTTCAGTGGGCAGGACTTAGGTGTACCTGGCTGCCTGTGCTCCTCAGCTGCTTGGCTCTCAGAGAATTCTCCCTTGTGGGGCAGGGATGGGGCTGGAGGTCTCCCAGAACTGAAAGAGAAGACTACCACCCAAGCCAAGGGGTGAGAGTGGTCAGATGTGGCCTCCTGTGATTCTGGGGTCTTCCATGGCCTCTCCATCTCTACTTGGCCCATGAGGGCTTTGAAAGGTGACCTGGGTACTGTGCTCCCACGGGTGAGAGACAGGCTCACAGCCCCCACTTCTACTGCCAGTCTATCCCTCACCTGGTGCCTAAAGTTATGATGGCTGTGAGGACCAGCTGCCGATGAGGACCAACCACCCGAGGACCAGCCAGTTGTGTAGACCAGCCACCTGTGAGGACCAGCCACTGATGAGGACCAGACACCCAAGGACTAATCACCTGAGGACCAGCTAATTGTGAGGACCAGCCACTGATGAGGACCAGACACCCAAGGACTAATCACCTGAGGACCAGCTACTTGTGAGGACCAGCCACCCAATGACCAGCCACCTGAAGACCAGCCACCTGAGGACCAGCCACCCATGAGGACCAGCCACCCAGTGAGTAACAGCCACCCAAGGACCAGCCACCTGTGAGGACCAGCCACTGATGAGGACCAGACACCCAAGGACTAATCACCTGAGGACCAGCTAATTGTGAGGACCAGCCACCCAATGACCAGCCACCTGAAGACCAGCCACCTGAGGACCAGCCACCCATGAGGACCAGCCACCCAGTGAGTAACAGCCACCCAAGGACCAGCCACCTGTGAGGACCAGCCACTGATGAGGACCAGACACCCAAGGACTAATCACCTGAGGACCAGCTACTTGTGAGGACCAGCCACCCAATGACCAGCCACCTGAAGACCAGCCACCTGAGGACCAGCCACCCATGAGGACCAGCCACCCAGTGAGGAACAGCCACCCAAGGACCAGCCACCTGAAGACCAGCCACCTGAGGACCAGCCACCCATGAGGACCAGCCACCCAGTGAGGAACAGCCACCCAAGGACCAGCCACCTGAAGACCAGCCACCTGAGGACCAGCCACCCATGAGGACCAGCCACCCAGTGAGGAACAGCCACCCAAGGACCAGCCACCTGAAGACCAGCCACCCATGAGGACCAGCCACCCAATGAGGACCAGCCACCCGAGGACCAGCCACTTGTGAGGACCAGCCACCCAAGGACCAGCTACCTGAAGACCAGCCACCCACTTCCCACTGTTGCCCCCAGCTGGCCCAGCATCCTCTCTTTACCCATTTCTCACGCTGAGCACAGCATGCCTCTGCCCTCTGGGCATTTCTGGATTTCATCCTCAAGTCAAGGGATGGAATTTCAGAATCTTCCTTCTTCCTTCCTAAGCTAACCAAGTGCCCAACTCCTGATCATGAAAGCCCCGTTAATACTCAGACCTTCAGCATCTCTCATAAAGTGCCGGTCAGCACGTATGTGCCACTGCCAGAGTCCCCTCTCCTCGAGGGCTCACCCACATCTGGAGCCCTGAGCTCGGCCTCAGCAGGAACATCGTGTCTCCCCTGAGGGTGGCACCTGCTCTCCCTGTGTCAGGGCTGACAAGGGCGCAATGGACAGGCATTGCTCACGTAACATGTCCAGAGTGTCCTGGAACCAATGGACATAATCAGGAAAAACACAAGACCACAAAGATGGAATTCAGAGACACATGGAATGCTTGCCGACAGTAGCCAATACCTCAATGTAACCAAAGAAGAGCTGTGGACCTCCTGAGGCACAGACAGCTGTCCCTGCCAGCAGGGCCACCTCCCCCTTGCTGCCCTCCATCCTCCTAAACCTCCAGACCCCACCACGCCCACCCTCTGGGACCACATGTACCAAATAGAGTGGCAGTTGGCTGTCCGACGGGCTGTGCTTTGTCGATGCTGAATTCAGCGTCTGGACATCAGCTCTGCAGACTCCGTGTTTTGGGAATGCGGCCATCACGCTGCAGCCTTTGAAGCTTCCGGGCCGGTGCTGTGTCCGAGGTCCCTTCCTCGGTGGCAACAAAAGTTCCTTGAGTCAGCACTTTTGTTATTTTATAACCATGCCTCCCCTGAAAAACTGTGTGGGGAAGATGCTAATGGAATGTAGAAGGTGCAGATGTGGTCATTTCTGCCTTACAATGTTGTTATTAGTACAAATTACAGGTTTATGCCTTTCTGTTGTATGTAGCTTTTGCCCATATAGCTGAATAAATATCAAAATCAAATATAATGTGGGAACGGGATGGAAGGGAGGAGAGAAACAAAAGTTATATTTTATATTTTTGCAGTTTCTACTGGAAGAAAAATGTTTTCAGTATCTTGACTGACTTATTGAATTTTCAGGATGGATGCACACTACAGTGTAGCTTTCTGTGCTGTTTTCTTGTACCTTCAAAAAGAGCTTTCAAATATATTTTCTGTACTATGGTTTGTATTAAGTTTCAGTATTGATGTAAAATAAATCACACATTAATACATGACTTATTGAATTTTCAGGATGGATGCACACTACAGTGTAGCTTTCTGTGCTGTTTTCTTGCACCTTCAAAAAGAGCTTTCAAATATATTTTCTGTACTATGGTTTGTATTAAGTTTCAGTATTGATGTAAAATAAATCACACATTAATACATGTTTAGCATAAATGGAAATGTCAACTTGATTTTCAAATGAAGTCAGTTTATTTCCTTTAAAGTGTGTTGGTTAATTTACATTCCGGGACAGTCCTTCACCACCAGGTAGAAGACAGCCGCGTGGCAGAGGAGGGATGCTGCCTGCCGCGTTCTTGCTGCAGCCCCAGAAGCACTGTCGGCCCCTCCCAGACTGGCCTGTCCAATAAGGAGCGAGAAAGGCAGGGCACCATGAGTGGGGGACCTAGTGTGGGGTCTGCCCCACTGGGCGCAGGACCTGGGTGTCAGGCGTGTGGGAAGGAGTTAAAGGGGTCAAGTTTCTGGCGCCTTCATGGAGCCCAGATCCACCCCTGCCTGTGGCAGGTGGAATCCTGGCCAGGCCTCCTCCAGCATCCCACAGGCCACTGTCAGCAGCTGTGCCCAGCTACACCCAGTCGCTGCCCCAAGATGCCCATGTCCTCCCTGGGAGGTCAGGCTGACCCCCCATCGGCTGGGCTAACCCAGCTGCTCACCATCCATGGGACTCCCATGCCTTGACCCACTCCCACCACCTACCCAGCCTTCCCCACCAGTCTCACCTGTGCTGAGATGTCTAGGTGGGGCTCCCTCCACCTCTGACTGCTGCTGCTGCTGCTACTGGACATGCGGGTCATCTCCTCACTGGCCTTGTGTCTGCCCCTACCCGTGCACATATGCACAGTTGGGGCCCAAACAGTGCAGTGGTGCACGCTGTTCCATCTGCCAAGTCCTGCCTGATTGTCCCCCAGAGCGGTGTGCCTCTGTGCATCCCAGCAGCTCCACCCTGGCTGACCGACCCTGGTGTGGTCAGATGCTTCGCAGTCTGGGGCTTCTGACGGAGAGTAGCTGCTGTCTCGTGTGCATTTTTATCACCTGTTTTTGTTTTTGTCTTTTTTCCGTGTCCGGCAACGGATCGC